TATCTGGCCTTTTATTATTAGCCACTGGCAAATTTTGAAAGCATTTGTCATTTTTCTAAATGCTTCAGGTTTCTCTAAAATCAATCAAATATTTTAATAAGTGACTTGAAGGACTTAAAGTCAATAATAATGATAATTACTTATTTTACTACTCAAACGTTTGGAAACTTACTCATCATTATCAAGGTCTTCATAAATAGCATAATTTTTTTTATTTATTATTAGCTTTTGTTATTTTGTTCTTTCTTCATGATAATGACTTAATTATTCCAAAGATTTTTACATAAATATAAAGCATAATACACAAAACATGTATCCTTTATGTATTTACTAGTTTTTTCTTCACTGTCTCTGAATTGTAACAGTTCTGTAATACAGGTTCCTTCGGTAGACAGACTACATTTAATAGGTGTATATGATAACATACTGCCTGCAGTATTAAAATGTTCAGAGTTTTTTAATCTTAATTTGTTAATAAATTCTTATAAAATCATAGAATATTAATTAAAAATAAATGATAAAGAAATTAGTTTCAAATAAAAAAAGCATGTTAAACCTTTGCATTTTAATTATAGTTCTTACTTGCAAAAACAATCGACATGTCATCTTCATTCTCGTCATTATTATCGTAATTATTATCATTGTCGTGATTTTTGATGTAATAGGTCACATCAGCTTCATAGGAGTCATCAGAATTGGAATAGTTGAAATTGCTCTAATAACTTGCTTTCCTTTTTCATGACATTTATTAGAGGAAGTGACGATAATAAACGTTTCCATAATTATTTCTTCTCTTCCACTACTTTCTGCTTCATTAGTTTCATGTGAATCGATTTGGGAAGTCATAGGCGTAGTAATAGTGTGAATGAATAAAATACGATAGGACTTATATGGTGCTGATGATCGACAAATCTGACAAATCTGACATATATGACATATCTTACATAATCGATAAATAAGATATATTAGATAGATTCGACATATATAATATATCGGACATATTTAATATATACGATATATTAGACATATTAGTTATATCTTTTTATATACTGTATTTTATATAAATAGATAGCTTTTTAGACCATGTAAAAAGTAGGATTTGACAAGTCCATTTTAGTAGTTTTTAAGAGGCAAACAGGCCTATCATGTTACATTTTGAGTTTCATACTTCGTTTTTTTTCTTTTCTTTTCTTTATTCTTGTCATATCTTTTATTTTCTTTACTTCTATTTCTATTCTTATCAATAAACATCTTACTTGAAAATATAATTACTCGATACTTTGTGAATTGTTCATCGTGAAATACTCGTATAAACCTTTACTTGAAACCTTTACTTGAATTTAGTCGTAATAATCAACTTGTAAAAGCCTTAAGATTACTGTGCAATTTAAAAGAAATAATACTCTAACACCTCATCTAACAGTTGTAGTTCGCAAGAATTACAAGTTAATATTTAGCGACAATGACAGAACTCTCTTTTCCTATTTGCGTAGTAATACCTTATGAGAATACTACATGAATACCTTTGAGAACTTATTTGAAATTCAGCAAACACATTATGCACACCATTTATCAAAATAACAAAACAACCAACTAAAGATCACCTTTGTGGATGACGCATTGTGTATTATTTGTAATCCTTCATTCGTTCCATCAGGGCAAACTCTTGCCTTTCGTATCATTCTTAAGTTGGCTCATCTTATACTTGAAGCTTGACAATACACTAGCAAACTATAACTGAGTTTGATTCAGCTAATAATTCACCAACTCTAGAGTTACAAATACTCTATTATCAATACGTATTATACTCCTTTATGTATAATAAACTACTTTCTTACACTTTTGACCAAGCTATCAATTTAACAGTACAAATGCATTGTCAGACTAACGCATTTAACAAGGATCCTGGAAGTACTATTTCTGAATACTTTGAAACTCCTACATCAAGCATACCTCCCTCACCTTTACCAGTTATTTTGAGAACAACTACAATGACTAGGCTAAAAGGATCAACTGCCGAGACTGTTAGGCCACAAGCCCCTCCAGAATATTTGGATACAACTGAAGACAACTATTCTCTTTCTGGAGATGATGCTGGAGATTATGATGAAAGCAATCAACCAGACGATGTTCTTACAGCACAAGTTACTCCTAGTGAAAGTAGACATGTAGATTTTCATGAATTTATATTCGATTATGGAAGCTTTGGAAACTACAGAAATTAAACTACTCCATCTCCTTCCAGAACTAAACAAAATAACCCCCTCCCTTTGGGAACTGAACAAACTAATCTACTTCCCTCTGGAACTGGGCAAACTAAGCAATCTTCCTTCAGAATAGGACAAGCCAACCAACTGCCTTCAGATACAAGAAAATCTAACAAATCTTCATCAGGAACTGAACAATCTGACCCGACTCCATCTGGATTGAAAAATAAAGAAACAACTACTAGTCAAAAGAATTCTAATAAGTCTAGTTCATTTAAATCAGGATCACCTTTATCTCAAAGTCAACCTGAAAAGAAAAAGTCAGACAAAAAGAGGAGAATTTGTCATTCTCCTTCTTATTATGATAGTTCATCTCATCGTCTAGCTATGAATCAAAACATATTAGTTCTGACGATAATGAATCTGAGAATGATCCTTTCGATGAAAATAATGCGACCAGACAAAGTCAACTTAACCTCTTCTGAATGATGAAAGGACTGACACTGTTTTCAAAAATGTTGGATTGGGTAGATAACGTGAAGGTAAATTTGTGGATCTCCCTTCTTTTAAAGGTGGAGACCAGAACCCTCATGATTGGTTGGAAAGATATAATAATGCAGGTAACGCAAATGGCATCTCGGATAAGAGACGTCTTACTTTAGTACCATTAGTTTTAAAGGCCTCAGTACAATAAAACCAGAAATAAAAAAGACTTACGATACTGGGTTAATCAAACTGATCGATAACATAAGCATCGATCTTTTGTCTATCATTTCTTGAAACATTATTGCACTACTCACTAACGAATGCAATTATGTTCTGCACTTAGGCGATGTAAACAATACCCTGAACAATCAGTTGAGGATTATGCTACCAATATTGAGTCGTTATACCTTAAATTAGACCCAGATTATAATACACTTGAGGATGAAAAGATTGAACAATTTCTACAAGGACTTCGACCTGAATTTTACACTGCAATTGCTACTGCCACACCATGTGACTTAGAGAAAGCTATCGATCGAGCATGGGCTATTGAAATGATATTATCCAAAAATAGTACACTTTCGGGTTACTCCTTAAGCAAAGCATATTTAACATAAAATGAGGATGATACTCCTGAAACCTTCAATACTGCCCCAAATATGCAATAACTCATCAATAGAAATAATGAAAAGTTACTAAAAGAGTTTAAGCAACTTTTAACTACCTCTAATACTACTCCACGACCTAAAACTACATCTCTTCACTCTGCGAATACCAATAATAACTGGAAAAATAATAATAACACCAATAGTTATAATAGTGGTAATAATAATCGTAATTCTAGTAACAATAATCAAAGTACCTTAAGTTATTATAACTGTGAACAAACTGGGCATTTTGCTAGGAACTGTACTCAACAGAGAAATTTTCAAAACAACTAAAATAGTAGAGGAAACAATCGATATTCTCCAAATAGTACCTCAAACATAGGAGTTAGTTGTCATAATTGCCAACAAATAGGACATATAGCTAGGAACTATATTAACTTACCCAGAGGACCATGTCCTTTCTGCAGTCAGTTTGGACATTAGGGAAGATTATGTCCAAATAGAAATAACAATACTAATAATACCAATCAGAATACATCGAACAGGTATAATAATGTTAATAATGGACAACGTGTTGCACTCTCTCAAATCATGCCAATGTACAATTCGACGTTCACACCTTCCCCTCAAACGTCAATGACCTTACCAGCATCAAATTCGCTACTAGTGATTAGTAATCCCTTCTCATCTTCATCGCAGTCTTTAAACTATTGACAGTACCTTTAGAGGGTGAGTGTACAAATGAATATATAAACCCTTTAGAATCACCAAAAGTGGTTGAAGCCATTTATTGTAGTGTCACAGTAGACAATAAACCAATTTATTTAATACTAGATTCTGGATCAGCAGGAAGTGTAATGTCTAAAGCATTTTTGCAACAATTAGGATGAAAAATTGAATCCGCATCTACAATAACAATGATTAATATACAAGGCGGACGATTTAGATCTCTAGAACAAGTTATGAATATTCCCTTACAATTAAATGGGATAGAAATTCCAATCAATGTAGATATCACTGAATTGACTGATTATTACATTGTAGCAGAAAATGATTGGCTTTCAAAATACTGAGAATGACTTTACTGGGACTGTCAAAAATTTACATTTTATTGGAATAATAAAGAACATCAAGTACCAATAACTTGTTGGGAAAAACCAAAATTCGACCATTTCTAACAACCAGTAGTTATCACTAATAAATTAGTCGATAATAATGAAGAATATAAGGATAAAGAATTAATAGCATAATGACATTATGTAGTATTTGGAGACCAAGATAATTTAACTCCTTTAGCCGAAAGTAATCCCAAACAACTTTCTGTAAAAGGACAAAAGTATTCACCCCAATACTTTGAAAGTCTAGAACAAAAATTCAAAGTTCAAGCACCTAAAGAGGCTAAGTGGAAATTCAATTGGCAAGGACCAGGAAATCGATGTTGGTGTCGTAATAAATTAGACAAAAGTAATGATAATTGCCAACTTTGTAAAAAGGAATGAGATCACTAGCAATTATTGCAAAACATTCCTAATGAACCACCAATCCAAGTAAATATATACTCACACCTGAATAAGCACCAATAACTACAAATTACCAGATTTCTCGATAAAAATGAAGGTGCATTTGTCAATGACCTATCTCAATTGAGACATACCACAATAGAAAATTATCACATTTCAGTAGAAAATCCAATGCCAATATGATAGCGCGCATATCGAGTAGCTTCCTTGAAACAAGAATTTATTAAAGAGAAAGTTGATAGAATGTTAGAACATAATTTAATTCAATGTTCTGAGAGCCCTTGGGTCTTACCTGTCGTTCTAGTAAGAAAAAAGAATAGGAAACTTTGATTTTGTATTGATTATAGAAAATTGAATAGTGTTACACAACGGGATAGACACCCTTTGTCTTACATTGATGAATTGCTTGATATGCTTGGAAAAGCAAAGTATTTCTCAACATTAGACTTAGCAAGCGGATATTGGCAGGTTGCTATGGATCCAAATGATCAAGCCAAAACAGTATTTATAACCAGCCAATGACTTTATGAATTTAAAGTCATGCCGTTCAGTTTAACAAATGCCCCTGCGACCTTTTAACGTCTGATGAATAAAATTTTTAGAGAAGAAATTGGACGATTTGTAGCTGTATACCTCGACGATATTATTATTTTATCAACTACCTTTTATGAATACATACAGCATTTACAATTAATTTTTAAAAGATTAAAGAATGTCGGACTAAAACTTGGAAAGGATAAATGTGATTTTGCTAAACTAGAATTAGCATTCTTAGGACATATTATTAGTGGACAAGGAATTTCCCTTGACCCCTTCAAAATTGACAAAATCAAGAATTTCCTTATTCCAAAGAATATTACTGAACTCTGAGGATTTTTAGGCCTCACATCTTATTACAGAAGATTTATTCAGGACTTCTTTACATCTGCTGCACTTCTACATTTATTATTGCGAAAAGATGTATCTTATATCTGGACTAAACCACAACAAAAAGCATTTGAACATTTGAAAGTTTGTTTAACTACTGCATCAGTCTTAATATAACCTGATTTCAAATGAAAATTCTTGTTATTTACTGACGGATTGTATATTGGACTTGAAGCAATACTAGCACAATTAGATGATGATAATAAGAAACATATTATTACTTATGCTAGCCAAAGTATAAGTGGTGTTGAACGAAACTATGCTCCAACTGAATTAGAATATCTTGCTGCTGTATGGAGAATGAAATATTTCTGATCTTATCTATTATATCAACAATTTGAATTAATTACTGATCACGTAGCCTTACAATAGCTTTTTAATAAATCAGATCCACCTCACAAATTTATGAGATGGATTATTCGTATAATAGAATTCCCTATCAGATTCAATATAAAAAAGGAAAATTACACTCAAACGCAGACGCATTATCTCGACTTCCTTTACAGTAATTTAATTAATTATTAGAATTTTTAGAGTGAAAGCGAAAGTGCTAGCAGTGTGACTAGCAGCTCAACAACATGGAATTTGAAACTTATCATCAATTATTTCAATATCTTATCCAATTTACATACCCTCCAAATCTTACTCCTCCACAACAACTCGCAATTATTAAACAGGCACAACATTATTTTATACAAAATCAACAACTTTATAGACGTAATCATAAACAATCAGCTTTATCATTACTTGTAGTAAAATCAAATGAAGTTGAACGAATCTTACATAATATTCATAATGAACCTTTAGGTAGACATTTAGCAAGGGATATTATATATAACAAAATTGCTTCTCAATACTATTGGCAAGTATATACAAAACTATTGAAAATTGGATACAAACATGTGATGTATACTAACGATAAGGAAGGCCAAAACCTAAGGAACCTCTGCATCCTATACTTGTTAGACAACCATTCGATTGTGTAGGAACTGATTATGTAAGACCACTTTCACGTACTACTAAAGGGAATCAGTATATTATTGCAGCAACTGAATATTTGACTAAAAAGGTTAAAGCGAGCGCTACACCAAATTGTACTACCCAAATAACTGCGCAATTTATGTATAATGAAATCATCTGTCGACATGAAATGCCAAAAGTGATATTAACTGATAGAGCAACATCGTTCCAAAATGAATTAATTACTGCACTATTACACATAGTTGGAACTAAACATAGATTATCTTCACTGTATCACCGCCAGACTAATGGCTTGACAGAACATTTTAATAGGACATTATGTACAATTTTAGCAAAGTATGCTGAACAACACCATGGAGAATAGGATATATATTTAACTTCAGCACTATTTGCATATTGTACAACACAGTGTTACTGGCCAAAAATTCACTATTGAAAAGTTGATCTACAAAGAATTATTAAATGATCTACAGAAGTTACTGGAATTAATTTTAT